CAGTATTGCTATTGAGCATTGCGTAACAGTGTTGCGCAAGCTAATTTTATAATACTTTTTAAAAAATAAATATATCTACCGTATTTTACACCCTTATAAAATGTTTTATACTATAAAGATATTGCAACTTCAACAAATAATTTATTTTAGGAGTCTATATATTTGAAAACTAAATTTAGAACTATATAACAATATGGTAATTGATTTATGTAAAGAGTTATATGTAAAATATTGTACATATTATAATGGCTACATGCTGAAATACAGAGACAACTACCTGATATGCCTACCGTATTTCATACTGTAAAGATATTGCAACTTCAAAAAATAATTTATTTTAGAAGTATATATATTTAAAAACTAAACTAAGAACTATATAATAATATGGTAATTTTGTATGTCAAAAGTTGTAATAAACTATTGTACATATATCCACCATTAATTGCTGATATATAAAACGTAAATAAAATTTGTGATTAAATAAATCTATATTTTAACTAGAGCACTAGTAAAGTTTCTTGATATAAGTACAATGATAAATTTTGCTTTATTGTTTAAATGAATTATTATGACTTGTATTTCAATAATAAGTTTTGCTTTTTTGATTATATAAATTATTATTACATATAGCATCAAATTTTGTTACAATAGTTATTTCTTCCCGTCCACTCATAGTTAAATTGAATTTTCAGTTTGCCCATTAATAAGTTATTTAAAATGCTTAAAAATATGCCGCATATTTACCTATATCAACATGGTATGATATTATATATTGTTAGCATTAAACATCAATTAATAACCAATATTTAAAATATTTATAAATAATTATTTAGGCGTTTTCTGCTATGCGCAACCCGTTTTAAAACCTCGCCATCCTAACTCACCATGGCCGCCATGTTGGTTTTATTGTGAACGAACGCCTCAGAGGTGGCGAAACTACTGTGAATGGGACTTTCCCTACTCCCTTATACCATAGTATTGCGTGAGTAGCAAAGCGAATAAGTTCGGTTTTATTAAACTTGTTGTGTTGTAACGAGTATACTTATATATAATATATCCGTAAGTATGTATATACAAAAATATATAACTTAAATATTAAATTATCAGAAAGCATAAGTTTTACTCATTTCGATTATTGTTTCTACACTTTATTGCGTATTTGTAGAACAAAAAAGAACAGTTCTTATGAACATACAAGTACTATGCATTCTGTGCCGAGACCTCATCCGGTCTGACGCAAAGTATGCGTCAATATTTAGGAGTGCTTATAGCTCAAACAGTCACCGACATTCCTCCCTTCCGTACCTCAACTGATGAGACCTATATTATGAGAGTGCAATATAAATGAACACTCACCACCATGGATAAAATGATCTGAAACTCTTTGATTTGCGAGAGCACTGCCAAAGTCTACATTTTTTTATAACATTTGACAATGCTGCCACTAGTGAAAGAAATACGTTTTGGAATTTTTTAATGTATTTCTTGGGTATTTATCGGTTTCCATTTTAGAGAAAAATATACATAATTAAAATTAGTTTAACAAGCTAGATATCCTATATGACGTCTAAATATATGTACATGGATATTTTAATCACAAAAGTTTTTCAAAATTAACGTTTAAAACTAAATTTAACAAAATATTCTATTATTTCAAAACACTTACAACCTAAACATGAACCTTATTTCTTTTTTATATACTCAATAAACAAATATCTTTTGATAATTTATTCGGAAGTCAAATTTTACATAATATATGCTGGGAATTCTAACCAAAATATGTATATACGTTGACAATTGGTACTGCTAAGCAAACCAATATTCTGCGACAAAATACCCGTTCTTTCTCAAAAACGAAACTATATTAAAACTCTTTACATAAAGATTAGAAATATACGTAAAAGTCACCAAAAAATCTGATATCACAAATTACCCACTGATTTCGCATTTTATTTCTGCGGGATTTTTAGTGGTAGTTCATTGTTTTGGTTGTCATCTGTTCAGTAGCTCATGAACTCGTGGTTTTTCTTGGCAGCACTGAAAGTTCATGAGCTCTCTCAGAAGGCAAAGAGAGGAGTTTTGCATTATTTTATCTATGTTGCATACTATGCATTTGGGAGCGCTTAATAATTATAGCGCTCAGTGTGTTTAGTTTCCACTTTTTAATTTGGTAAATCCCCGAATTCGAAGTGACAGTGAAATTTCGGTAAATGTACGAAGGTTTAAAGTCCCTCCAACGAGAAGGAGGCCTCAAAAATGTATTTTTTATTTTAAATCGTCTTATTTTGACGCGAAGATTACAAATCCGTAAGAGGGACGTATATTTTTTTCAATATTTCATGTAAATGTACATACATATATAAAGGTATATATAACACAATACTTACAAATAAATTAGTTGTTGCTGGGCGACAAAATTCTGCAAAATTCAGATCACGTAGCTGTAATTACAAATTCAACAAAATAGGCATTTTCTTGTGAAAAGAAATACTGCAATTGTAATGTAACAGGCACGATTACGGTTTCTTTTGCGCTGTGATCTGATGGTATGGACAAATAGAGGAGATCGTCCAACTCTTTTCCGCACTGGTTACTCTTTGGAGCGCGGCAGAAAGAAGTTCGAGACGAATGAATTATGCTCACCCCAGTTTTGGACCGACCAGGGTTAGGTGTAGAAAGGAGCTACGAAAGAACATATGCAAAGTGTGTTAAGTTTCTAATTTTTATTCAAAAATTTAATGTAAAGAAATAGACTTTTCATCTTGTATTTGTAATCTTCGCGTCAAATAAGACGATAAAAATTTTAATTTTGTGGCGCTCCTTCGTTGGGCATCCTTCCGAGCTAGCTGGTGAAATCCACATCGTGGGATGCTAGTTTTGACAGATTCACCTTTTATTCGAAAATCTTTATTTTAGTATTATATGTGGCTAAGTGAAGTAATGACCCGCCTTTACCCATTTTTAACACAAGGACACATTATAATGACGGTTGCGGTTTGAAATTCAATACTATATCCCATAGATTGACCGATCTTTTCGCTTAAAAGTTAGATATAGGATATGGATTTGAAAACTTATTGTCCGATTTTGATAATTTTAAGAAAAATTTGTTTTGATATCCAGAAACTATATTTCGTCATTTCAAGTGATCCTGCCATTTCAAACACCCGCATACCTACACAAGATGAATTTACTTATTTAAAATATTTTATACAATATTTTTTTCTTTTTACAAAAGGAAAGTTTAATAACTAATAATGGCCACAAGTTCTGCGCAAACACCTGCTCTAGAGAGTAATTCGAGTGAGCTGAACCATTTCATCGATAAATTAATGAAGAAAATATGTGTCTTCTACGACGAACAGTCTCTCGTTGATGTGTCATTTAAAGTTTCAAACCCAACGGCTATGTAAGTATTACTTTGACTTCAGCTTATAAAAAATAATACGATTTATAATATAATAATAATTTTTGCACAGTATACCCGCGCATCGTTTGATACTCGCAGCAGCGAGTCCTTACTTCGAGAACCTTTTCAATGGTCATCAGGGCATTAATCCTGTAATCGAAATAACAGATATTGATAGCGATATTTTTGAGCGTATTATAGCCTTTTGCTATACCGGCCGCCAGGCTCTGTTAACCGTTAACAATGTCGGTGCGATGCTAAAGGCGGCAATCGTTTTACAATTAGACGATATCATAACCAGTTGTGTGGACCTCATGACGCATATCAATGAATTCACATTACAGGCTGCTTATACGCTAGCGCGTGAAACCCAATGTGAATGTTTAAAAAAAAGAATAAACGAATATGAAATTGAGAATTTCATGGAGGTGAGTCAAAATATAAGTACACGCAATGTCGAACAATGGCGGTACTTTGTAATTGAAATTTTGTTTCTGATAATACATAAATCGCTGGTTTAGTTATGATGTTCCTACGCGTCAGAAATAACTACCACTTTTAATAGCTTGTCTGCGGCTTACGCAATTCGATGCCGACTTTCTGTTGAATCACATACAGCCATTACCTGGTTGTGAGCTACTGGCTTTCAAGGCGTTATCGTGGAGCAGTGACCCTGCATCACGGCCAAAGATAAATATCCGATTTACAAAACCACGTGAGGGCAATGCTGGAAATTGTGGTGAGAAAACATTGTTGGCAGTTTGCCATCTTAGGGTAAGCACAAACGGCTTTTGTTCCAAATTTAAAAGCTTTATTTAATGTACGTACAATATTATTTTGAAATAGCCGTCATTAAAATTGGTGCAATATAACAAAGCTGAGGATAAGTGGCAAGAATATGCGATTATAAAAAACGATTACAGTTCTTATAGTACTATTATAAAGGATGATAATATATTATTTATTGGCGGTGATAAAGGTGGTGCATCAAACATCGCCCGCAGCTGGAATATACAAAATAAAACATTGCGACATTTGCCCAACATGAAGGTAGCAAGAGAGGATCACTGCGTTGTCAAATTATATGGTAGCATCTACGCGATTGGTGGTAATGATGGTAAAAATGTTCTGTCGTCCGTAGAAAGGTATATATATATGAATCTGTAGCGATGACAATTGGGAGCAATGACAATTAAAGGTTAACTTTAAGCTTAATGGTGAAAGCACTTTAGGCTAGGTGTTTTAGGGTAGTGTGGATTGTGGACAAAACCAGAGAACTTAAAACTATAGGAAAATCAACTGAAATTAGTATTGAAATAAATCTAAATTTCGGAAACTAAATTCAGGGAAATCGACAGGATACAGAGCATGCACAGTGCGCAGAGGACATTGAAACATTAGAATATTACCTCGACATTTTAATGCCTCTATAGGTATACTCTATCTCTCTGACATCACAGCGACTACTTTAGAATAATTCTAAGTTTTTATTAGACAATTTCATCGTCGACGCGCTTTAACGTAACAAACACAATACTTTATATTTCAATTTAGATAGTTGCACTAATTTTTTTTTATTGTTTATTTCCAGATATACGACATCCGGTGGTTGGGAGTTCGTGAAAAATTTGATGGTTGGACGACCCAACGCCAGTGCAGTGACTTTGAATGGTAAAATTTACATAGTGGGCGGTATTGAAAAGACTTGCTCAAAATCCGTTAAATGCTACAACCCGGATTCGAATACTTGGAATTCTTGTACGGACATGAGAAATGATTACCAACAGCCACCTGGTGTAAGTTAGATTCAAAATAATTGTTAATATTAGGAGGATGTTCACTATGTCTAAACTTGGAAGAGTCAAAGAAGAGCATATAACAAATTTACTTAAGTTTTGAAATTTGTAAGAGCTAAAACCATGTTTCAGAGGCTAATGCTATACCCAAAGCTTTTTTCTTTTACTGCGGATGCATCTAAGTATGCGGATTCATATCCGGTCTAGAGTTTTCAAATTTTCTTGTGAACTACATTCTGCCGCTGGAATAACTGATTCAACTTGAATTCACCTTTGTAAGCCTTCGCTAGAGCAAAGTAGCTCCGCTTCAAAAGGAGTGATCAAAAAATTGTCTAACTAAAAATAGTTACTGATTTACCCCATTAAAATTACATACAATATTTATTGCTACTTCTTATATTACAGGTAGCTGTACATAACGGTCACATTTATGTTGCAGGCGATGAAAGTGTTGAACGTTACGATCCTCAGCGAAACATGTGGTCTCAGGTATATTAAGTTGATTTTTGCCAATCGCTTGGTATAAAACTAAATAATTTTAAAACATTTCGCAGATTTGCTTTGGATGGTAACAATAGGTCTTTAGTATCGCTAGACAATAAACTATGGGCTATTTGGAACCACTCAGAATGTTCTTCGGAGGCATGTGTATCAGTCTATGACGAGCATAATAATCGTTGGCAACAAAAATGCTCAGTCCCAAAACATAGTGGAGAACTGTTTGTTGTGCCAGAATCCTTACTGTCGTCGAAATGATTCAAAATTGTACCTTTTTATTTAATAATTCTTTTCAAATAAATTCTCTTATGAGAAATAATAAATAAAAACAAAATCTTCTAATTATTTTGAAAGCAGAGATGGTGCTTAACGCACTTGAACTGAAAGTCAGGGATCAGTAATATGTACCTCATTAAAACCGTATGAATGCGCAAGTTTGCCGACTACTGGTATAATATATACATACATGGGTAATATGTACATATATTTGTACTAGATCTATAATAGAACTTCTATTAATGGCGCTTTGATTAGATAAAAATATAAGAGAGTAAAGAAGAACGGCACACTTGAGAGTGTGATCGCTAACAGTGGTGGACACAAATTAACAGTACTCTTATTACAACCACAGTTACGAAAATAATAGAAAGGTTAAGAAATAACGTTAAATAAAACAAGTAAGGAAGAGCTAAGTTCGGATGTAACCGAACATTTTATACTCTCGCAAAGTCAAATGGTATACTCGTTTGGATTTCTTTGTGGATTGGCTGACATTTTCAGTAGAAGGTCAACTATAGGCACTGGGCACATATTTAGTACTTAGGGCTTGAACCAGAGAACTTAAAACAATGAGAAGGTGCAAATTGAATTTTGTATGATGCTCGATTGGTTGGCTGAAAATGAGATCAAGGAGTTCACCATTTTCTGTAGTATTTGCTGTTATTTAAAAGAAATGAGAATTAACAACGTTCTCTGACAATACGTATCTCCCAACATAAAGAGAAAATGAAATGAAATGAATGAAAAACAAGAAATACAAATGCCACTTCACATAAGTATGCATGAATTTTTGCCATATAAACGATTTTTATGATAAAAATTGATAAAATATGATTTTTGCACAAATGCTACATTGATAAATGTGAAAATTATGCAAAAATGATATTTTACTATTTTCATAATTTCTAATTCAATTTTACAGAACTAATAATTTATGTATGTACATCAATATGTATATATATATAATAATATATATTATCATTATCAATAAATCATGTGAGCGCACTGCTCTATATGTAGTATGTATGTACAAATATGCATATGACCGCTCAAAATAAGTAATGCATACACAAATCTACATACATTTAAGCGTACAAATGTAAGTACGTCAGCCAATAGGAAAATACAAACATTGTTGTACAAAACAACATTGTCTCAAATAGCATCAGCACCGAAATCAATATGGCAGCCAAATGACAAATCCTAAATTTGTAGTAAATCACACCCAACATTTTCATTCATGAACGCTGGCGCACAAGCAATAAGCTAAGTCGTTCATTCATAAAAGCAACGCCTTACACATCTCCCGAGCATGCGTTTGCCTACAAGCGTCTTTTCGCGACGATGGCAAAAGCTAAAATCATAAATTGAACAAATTTCTGATATTCCTCTAGAAGGAAAAGGACAACCCCGCAAATATGAGTATTAAAATTTTAGAATAAAAGTGACAACATAGTAAATTTGTCGATTTACAATTCAAGAAACTTTTAAAGAAATTTCAATATTCCTCTGATTTATGTATACTAAACCCGGTTAAGTATTACTCCTCAATCCCTCTTATCTGCCGGTGTCTTGCTGCATCTCACTTTTTCTTAATTTTTAAAGAAAACGGTAATTTTTAAATACATAGAAATAATTTTTGGTACCACTCGCTTAAGTACACAACCGCTTATGTACTACAAAGCACAAAATCTGCATCTTTGGTTTTGGCACTTAACCGGGATTGACTGTATTTGTCAAAGAATTTATGTAAGTACGTTCGATTTTTGTAACACATTGACTTTGCACTTGCCCATATGCGATGTATGTTTGTAAGAGTGTGTATGGCACATCTCGGATTTTCTACCAACAACAAATGTTGTGACGCTTGTCGTCGCGTCAGTTCTTCGACAGATTGACTCTTTGACATAAGCAAAAAATGTGTCAACGGAGATTTCACTGAAGTAATGAGTGTACATATCTACATAAAATACATACAATGTGTAAACGACATAATATATGTATGTATGTCCTGTTGCACATTGCTTCTACGTCCAGTAAATTCTATAGGAAAAACACTGATTAGTATTGAAATAAAATAGACTTTGTAATAAAATAAAATAAAAATAAAATAAATTAAAATCATTTATGTTCTCTAATTTCACCACTAAAAAATTATAAGTGGATTTCACCAGTTTTTAACCTCTGCGGACTCGAAAATAACAGAATTGAGCATTTTGAGTGTTAAATGAGAAAAATAATGCTAATTTCAATGTTAAGAAATGTACGCTTACATATTCGTTTATTTACAATGCGCAAACGACTTTGTATATAATTTAAAGATATTCTGCATATATAGGGTTTTCCAATACGCATGGTATGGTTTCTAAGTGTCGTTTCGGCCATTGTTAATATGTCCTGATCTGTATTTTTTTTTCATTATATTCAGTAATGCTTACAATTTCATCATGGAAAGATATAGATAAGAACAACGTTTACAAATTATTCAAATTTATTACCAAAATAACCGTTCTCCAATGGCGCTTTTGCCATTTTATGGTCGCTATGGTTATGGTGAGTGGTGCGGTTAATAAACAGAACTGTCGATTCTGGTGCGAAGAATATCCATAAATTATTCATGAATAACAGTTTGGTGTGGTTTTTGGTCTGGTGGAATCATCGGCCCGTACTTCTTTCCAAATGAAGCTGGGAACACCGTTACTGACAATGAAGAGCGGTATAGATCGATGATAACCAACTTTTTATGGCCGCAATTGGAAGTAGTTGATCTTGAGAACATCTACCAACAAGACGTGGCTACATCCTGCACAGAATTATTGCGAGAAAAGTTAGGAGATTCGATAATTTCAAGAAATTGCGACATTGAATGGTCACCAAGAAGTTATGATTTAACATAAAACATTTTATGTTTTTGATGAATTTACCGTTATGAAAGCTACATTGAAGGTTTTTTTTTTTTTAATTTCAATGCAAGTAAATAATTTACTATAAATAAACTTCCTACTTACATTTTTTGTTAAAATAGTTTTTTTCAATAAAAAGTTAAATTTTATTGGTGCATTTAAACTTTTGTCTTTGACTGTATATAATTATGTGTGCATGTAAATAAATATGAAAGAACGCATAATGTTTGTAAATTTGTCTACACACAACTTTGTATGTAAATATGTACACTAATGGCTTCATGCGAAATTTCCGTTGTCCCGAACAACCAGTGGCAGATACAGAATTTCTTTCTGGATGGAATAATCCAACATATTTTCAATATTAATATTACTTCGTATATTCTTCTGAATTTGAATTAGAATTATTTTCCGCGCTCTGATTTTATGACAGTAGCGGACTCTGTGAATCGATCTGTTAACTATATAAATTTTGTCTTCAATATTTTATTATTACCGAACTATAATTCAAGCCCCTCGTGGATCCGCCACTACGGACAACCAATGGCCGAAGCTCATGTTTTTGTTTTTATGTCAAAGAGTCGAAGTATTGACGAGTGTTTGTGTGACGACAAAGCGTCATAACATTTTGTTGGTAGAAAATTCGAGCTGAGCCGAAAAAACAATAACGAACGGCTGCCGATTTTCACCGCTTCCCTTGCCGCTCTAACAGCTTTGCCGACAAACCATCGTAAATATGTTTGTTTACATAATATATGAGCATGGAAATTAACTTCCCTACATACTAAACGCTTTATTTACAACTTACTCTTACTTATACATTTTTCTTATTTACTTAAAGCTCTTTCACAATAATGATTTATTCTTACAATAAGAGAGTGTCAATTACAATATTAGCTTATACGGCATATTTCAGCAGAACGTTAAGCGTTCTGTTTAGTTTACAGTTATCTTCGTGTGAGGGCCACCAGCTATATAAGAATGTATTATTCCATTCAGAAAGGAAAAAGCATGCGACTGCATTATTACAAAGCTTAAGTAATATTTTGTATACAGTTACCGTAAAGCTGTTGTGTGGAGCCTGCCGTTAACTTGAATATGAATTACATACATGTGTTCAAATTGATTTATGTATTTCATGAATCACGATAAATTCCATAAAATCTTCCGAAATAGAAATACATACATAAGTATGTACCTATCAAAGTAAGGATTACATTATTACCTAAATATTTAATTTATATACTTACCTAGATTTTATAAATAAAATATTTATGTATACATATGTATTTATTTCCTTTGGTCATTAAAAGTTTTGATAACATCTGAAAAGCCGAAGCGGTCGCACATACATACATATGTACTTATGCTCATACATATGTACATCAGTATATAATTATGTGTGCATATCAACAAATAAATATGAAAGAACCATACCCATGTTTGTAAATTTGTCTACACACAACTTTGTATGTAAATATGTACACTCTTTACTTCATTTAAAATCTCCGTTGACACGGACAACCAATGACCGAAGCTCACGTTTTCTGCTTTCACGTCAAAGCGTCAATGTGCCGCAGGACTGACGCGACGAGAAAGCATCGCAACATTGTGTTGTTGGTAGAAAATCCGAGCTGTGCCGAAAAAATATACGAACGCTCGCCGAGTGCCATCGCTTCCCTTGACGCTCTAACAGCTTTGCCGGTTAATCATTGTAAATATGTATGTTTATATATGAACATGCATAAATAATGGCGCAGATTTTTGCGAGCCACGGAAAAATATTTAAAAATTGCGGTGTTGTCACTGTTACCCTCTAGAAGGAACTTCAGAAAATTCTTCGAAAAGACGCT